TGTGGGGCGCCTCCCCCACCCCAACCGCGTTTTCCCGCAGGAGTCCCTCTCAGCGCTGCAGTCAGAGCCTCAGCGTCCAGACTGCAAATGAAGCGCGCATGCACCGGGATTGACGGCGCAAATTGATCACAACAATTAATCTGGCCTGCGCTTTGTAAAGCGAAAAAATTGATAACATGCAACTTTTTTCAAAAGAAATTAACATGGCACGGAACCACCATGTTTGTTTGGTTTTAAAGTGGGGAAACGTAACGTTAGTTTCTCAGGTAGCTCATCTGATGCTTTCCTTACCGTGTTAGTAGGTTACAGACAGTGATAAGGTTGGCTACTTATTTTACTTTTAATTTCATTTGAATTAGCTTAAGTAGCGTTTACATTTACTTTATAAATAAATTAACTTGCAAATTATGAGGGCAAGGCTTTTAAAGTTTAAATCTTCTGGCAAAGATAAAGTAAAGAAGATCCTGCAATTTATGGAAGTAAAGCAGAATAAAATCCAGCAAGATCAGTAATATGTCAATTAATTATCTGCCACATTCCCATGTAAATATCTGTCTTTGGAGGATGTGTTTTTTAGCACCCCTAGTTCTCTCATTTTTATTCCAAATACAATTTATAATTTGAATCACAGGCTATTTTTATCTCTATGGTTCAGTATTTTCTCAAGTAGCAACTTTAACTGCTATACTTTCCTGTCTTAAAAGGCAGAACTCTTCTAGTCTAAAAAAACTCATTTGTTGAAATGGGGGGGCCTATTGTTTGAACCCCTTAGGGGCTTTAAAAAACAAAAATGTCTTTTTTTGCGCTTTATGAAACAAAGTACCCTATATTTTGTGGATGTACAGCTACATTTCTCATGTAAGTTTGCGTAGTTTTAACACAAACATTTATTTTTCATATTGCACCAGTACAGTTAATGAGGAACCTGTACTTGTGTGCTTGTTTGTTCTGTCTAAAATGTTTATTTTGGAATAAAGAGGTTAATATAAAAAATATTTTTTGTCCGATTCATCGATTAATCGAAAAAATAATCGTCCGATTCATCGATTTTTAAAATAATCGTTAGTTGCAGCCCTAATTAAAACCCGACAAAGGTTACTATTCTGCGTCTTGCTATGAAGAAGCGGCCAGAAAAACAACAACCATAGTAGACGATGATGCGGAGAGCAGAATTTATGTTTAACCATCTTGAAAATATTGTGTTTTTATGGTTGGGAAAGATCACTAGATACGGTCCGGCACTACAATCCATGTTTACTTCCGTAAACACAGAGCAGGCTGGCCTGTGACCTCATTGCGTCCTCTACTGCGCATGCGGGACACTTCTGTTGTATTACTGCAGTTCACACAGGAGATCACATAACAAGTCGCATATATTTGGAAATGTGAACGGCAACGCAAAAAAATTGTATTTCACAAAGAAATCGGATTTGAGCATCAAGGCCTGCAGTGTGAACGTAGCCTAAACTGCCTCCGGGAAACTTTTTCATTTCAAAAATGTCAGAAATAGCTTTGAGTTTAAGGCTTTATACAGTAGCCCAACAAAGCCTTGTTTTATTTTCTTTTAGAAAACATGCAAATTGTAACGGATGTTTCAATTTATAAAACAAGGCTTTTTTTGGGCTACTGTATAAAGTAGCCCTCAAGCTCAACGCTATTTCTGACATTTTGAATTGGAAAAGGCTTCCTGGATGGGAAGCAAAATGTCTTCAAACTTGGAACCAAAATCCAGTGGATTTGTTTTTTTTTTTTTTACTTTTTTGGACTGGTCTGTGTAGTGTTTTAAAGGTGCATAGTCAATTTGATTTGCCAATACAAAAGAGACCAACAAGTTATTTGATCATGCAAAAGTAAGGAAACTTACAGAATCCATCCTGATAGTACCTCTGGTCAAGGGCTGTTATTTTAAATAAACGTAAAGGGCTTTATTTACTAGCAAACTGAGTAAAAAGAAAGGGTAAAGCACATAGATAAGAAAAATATTCACCAGCAGGATGTAGCAATCTTTCAGAAAAAGGTTTGTATGCAACCAGAATGATCTACAGGCCTATGCATTTAAAAAAAGCCAGATAATGTGAATATGCTGCTTTAAAATCCAAATTCTGTAGCACATCTTCTCATGTTTTCATTTATTGGTGCTGTTAATTGATAATATGCAGCACAGCGCTATTTTATTAAAAAATTATGAAGATCAATGTAAAGTCCATTTAGACCAAAGAACATCAATAGGATTTTAAATGCAGCACCAATATGAGTTAGAAGCATGTTACTTTCTCTAAGGGAGCTTTATGTTATTAAAACATACAGCCCAGCCCCCTGCAGCTTATCAGCCATAACAGCAAAAAAACTGATCTCTTTCACCTTCCTCCATCTTTAACTCCCGTTAAGAGGTACGATGGTTGGTGGGAGCTCGGTTACACTACTTCTTTTTAACAGTGGGAGACCCATTGGGTAGGAATTATCAGAGCTATACTGTTAGTGGGTCATCTGTGCATCCAAACAGTGCCTGTCTAATGCAGTTTATGCAGAAGGTTAAAGGACACATCTGTGGATCATAGCATGGTGATGAGGAACAAAATGGGAGTTTAAAGAGAGACACCTCTAGGAAAGCCACTACCAATTAGAAGCAATACGTTTTCCATTAACCGTCAGGTAATTAGTGTATTACTGCTAACACTTGTCCAGCATGACCTTCATGTGAAAATATTACAGGACAGTGAGCAGAGCTTTAAATGCCTGAAATTTTCATTTTCTGTAAGCCAGTATCTTTTATTTTCTAAAGTATCTGTATTTACTATTTGGATTCATGGGACCAACTTTTGAAAAAAATAAAAGGGTCAAATGTTTGGAGCAGGCACAGTGTTAGTTTGGTTTAGTTTAACAATGATTTTAGATATTCCACATCCATTCTTCTAATTCTCCCAACAGATAAAAGCATCAGTGTAGAAAAGAGATGGAAAGACTTTGGGAACACTCGATGCTCTGTGTGCGTGTGTAAAAACACATGCCCAGGGATGAAGGGTTTTCAAAAGCACAAGTTTAAAGATTTCAGCTAAGTTTACTTTACACAAGCCACCCGGGTAAGGAGAGGTCCCCGGGCCAGGAATAGAGGAAATGAGGTGGAGCTAGGCAGAGGCAAGGGAATGAGGACTAATCCCAACGGACTTCCCTGTTCCACGCCTAGGAAAGAGGCCAGACACTCTCCAGCCCCTTGTGGATTTCACTGCAGGTCAGATCCAAGGACCCTGCAGGTCTATTCACCCCTACGTACCCCTCCCTCAGACCGTCTGAAGCTCGGCTCTGCTCACTTCTAGCCGTGGCCAGGCAGCAGGGCGAATGGATATCCCTTAACAGGCAGCATTGGCAGCACAAGGGCTGCTAGCCTTGTAATTAGCTCGGACAGCTCAGGCTTGGAGAGAGGCAGCCGGGCTAGATCATAATGAGCTCAGCTGGGATTAGGAGGACAGGGCAGTGGGGTGAGCAGAAGGGAGGGGAGTGAAGAGGGGGGGGGCAAGTACCAGCATTCTGGCCTCAACCGACTGCAGCATCACAGAGGGCCAGAGGGAGGCAAGTGGGAAGACGAGAAGAAAGAGGGTAGAGAGGAGAGAGCTGGGAAGAAGGTGAAGGTGAAAAGAAGAAGAGAGAAGAAGATGGTAGCTTTAGGCGAAGCCTTCTGAAGCACCACAGAGGCTCATGTTTAAGGTACAGTTACGGATTCTTCTCTGGATCAAGAACACAAGCATTTATCGGCGGAGTGAAGCTAAAAACAAAAGTAAAGGCAGGAAAAGCATTTGTTTAAATGTAAAGACTGGGACAGATCCATCTGGGTCTGGTTGGAAAAACCTTTTTGATGCCAGATTGCCCACAATCCTCTGTGCAGATGATACTTCCTTTTACAACATAAAGATACCAACATGTCTACAGAT